TCCCTCAAAACAGCAGCAGCACCATGTCTTCACTGCCAGTGTTAGTCCACAAGATTGGTACGCACAAATACTCGAGTCAGACAAATGGTCAATCAGGTAGAACTTTTTAACCATTACAGATGCAACTTGACAGACGTGAGGTACATCCATTTCCTGTAGGTGGCAGTAGTCTGTGTTTTTTACAGGGGAAACAGGAAAAAGTCAAGAAACAAGAAAAGTATTCTGCTGTGGGCTGCCTTCTTTTACTTTGTTTCTTTACAAGGTCATAACACAGACAAAAACCTTTGAGCTCTCATCTCTTGAATATTATAAAATGTATTTTTGCTCGACCTTGAGAATACTGACGACAGAAATATCTGGCACAGTCGCGGGGGAGTTCAGTTCTTTCCTTATTTATTGAGCTTTTGTAGGAAAGGGAGTGTTTCCAGCTAAAAATAGAAGCCAGTTTTTGAGTCGACACCTGCTGGTCAGTGGGTATGCGATGGAAAAGCAATAGCACTGCAATGTTAGCCCTTTTTTGTTGTGAAGTCAATTAACTGGACACAAAAATGTAAATTCAGTTGGAATAACCAAGTAACCAGTAACCAATCGCTTTTTAAAAAATGTTGTGGAATTGGAAAAAGCACTAAATAACACTTTTTTTTTTTTGCAACTCATCAGGACAGTGTGACTCACTTTTTGAAAACATATTGTTCTGTAAATGAGTTTGGGTGTTAGGAGAGTTAGCTTTTAACGTAAGGTGATATTGTGTTTATCATCTGGTTTACTGCCCTCGAGTGGCAGAAAAAGTCCAGTAGATACTAGCTTTTTATATGCAAGCTAAGTAGGCTAACTGCCTCAGCAAATACACACACAATGACATGCAGTCTCCGCCTAACTGAGTCCTGTTATGATGTCATCGGCCTTTTGTATATTCACATAGACTCCTTCCTACTTTGCTGGTGGGTTGAACATATTCATTAGTGGAATACAGTACACGTTACGTGTACATGTACTAGTTTACATTCTCAGTTAACCGTTCTTCTGTAGATCGTTGTAATAAACAGGATCTTCGGCTGAACTGGTTCATCTGCACCAGAAGGTCAACGACAGAGCCTTTGAGGGCAAAGAGTGGAGATTCGGAGAGAAGGGGCTATTGTTCTGGGAATAGCTCCAGGGCTTTGTTCCCTAAGAGTGTGTATGTATGTGTGTTGGTTTACTTAAGTTGTGAGGACATATAGAGGCTCAGAAAGGGGGAAAACAAGGGCATTTCTTTGCAAATTGAAAATGTAGTTAGGAATAACTTTAAAAGTTGAAGTTACAAATTAGTTGGTAATATGCCAAAGATAATTGAAAGTAAAGGCCTGTAACAGGTACACAAACAGTTACTACAGTGAAATAATATATTGTTATATTTACGGCTTTAGAAATTGAAATAGTTACTGAGGATCAAATGTTTGTTTGTGTGAGAGCTGGAGGGGCAGGTTTTAATTGTATATGCATACAGAACCCCATTAAAAACCTGCTGTTGTCAAACACCAATCAGAATCAACATGTGTCTATGCTTGTCTTGTCTCTTTGTTTGTGTATAAGTCAGTGTCTGTGTGTGTGTGTGTGTGTGTGTGTGTATGTGAAATGGGTGTGGCAAGGTGATGCAGCAGCCTTGCAGAGGCGGGACTCAGATCCTGCTTCACTTGTGCCTTAGTGAAACAAAGACATGAACGTGCAGAGTGCAGGCAGTAAAGACATGAACACAAGGACTTGGGACAAATGAGCAGAAAAGCCGGTCAGAGGAGGCTGTGAAGGGGGAAAAAAAAGAGAGGGAAACAAACCAATGAGAAAACATGGGGGAAAAGACGCTTCCATTCCTGCCTTTATCCTGAATTTTTCCAGGAAGCTCAGGGACTGCTACCTGTCTGAACTTGCAGTGGGAAAGGTAACCTGTGTGACTGTTTCTGTGTGGTTCTTAATGTTAACTCCTGGGTGTCTGCAGATTTCCATGGGAAAAACAAAGCTACAGGTTCATTGTGCAACTGTACTGGATTTATCCCGGTCACTGCAGTAGAATAACCTGTGTGAATGCGAGGAGTGCCGTCTTTGAGCTGACCTTTCATCCATGGCAGTCGGAGTTCTGTGAACAGAGGCTAACATATGTTAGCGTACACGGCAGGTTCAACCAAGGGGAACAACAGACCACTGCTGCACATGCTGCTGCTTCCTTCATCTTCACACACTTCATGTGTGTCTACTGTTTTCTTTTTCTTTACCTGTGAGAGAACTCACAGGTTCTCAGTTCTTACAGTCACACTTTTGTTGACAAACAGTGTTGAAAAGTGTCTCAGTGTGTGTTTGTGTTTTGGTGAGTTGTGTATTTGTATGTCAAAGTGAGCAGCAAAAGGGTTTTACCAAACACCCAGGAGTGAGTGCATGAATGTGTGTGTGTGTTTAGCTTATGCATTTTTAATCATGGAAAAAGTCACGTTTGTGTCGGGCCAAGTGCAAAGTGATATTGATCTGTGAGGTTCACAATCTCTCACGTACATGTAAACAACGTTGCTGCCCCACCCAGGGGGATCTTTGGCAAAAGTCGAGGTTTGGACTTTAGTTTGATTAAAGAAAGCCATTCACTGGTTAAGAAAAGTACATCATTACAGTCCAACATTAGACCAAAGGAAGAATGGAAGACAAGCAGCATGTTAATTGTGTTGCTATTACCATATCCTCCCAGTGTAATAATGATTGTGGCTTTGTGGGTTTATGATGATGTCACCGCACAGAATGAGCTTTGAAAACGTACATGTACAACCATGTGATGTTTACACACACGCACAGTGACGTAAAGCAAATATCTCGCAGTCACTGAACTGAAGAATGGTCGAGGAATGGATTCTGATTGGGATTTTTAGTTATTAATAAAAGTTGTTTTTTTATTTAAAAAATGGACACATTTATATATGCAACAACCTTTTACTGTATTCCTCCCTTTGTCTACTGAGGAAAGTCGTGGCGTGAGAGATGATTTTACCGGTGGCAGAATGTAATCCAAGAAGTTCTTGTGTCAATATGTATCTAACTTGTCAGTCTGGCATTAAAAAGTGTTAGACGTTGGTTTAACTGGGACGACTAAATCAAAAAACCAAACAGCAGACATCCCTGTTAATGTATGTATTTAACTATAAAACACAAAAACAAACAGAATGTTGCTGCTAATACTGGCAGGCCATAATTACAACATATTTAGGGAGAAATCCAGGGACGAGGACAAAAAAACAAAAGAAGGTGCTTCAATTGGCCCACGGGCCAGACTTTATACATATCCGCCTCACAGTATAATTCCTGTTTGCCTTCACACATGCTGTCGAAATAAGGCCAGAAACAGTCTTTTTGTAGTTTTGAAGGTGTAAATACAAAGATGTAAAAGTAGCTGTAGCTTAAGGATAAAAAGTGAGAAACAAAGACCCAAAGTTTGGGTTATTTAAGGTCACAAATGTAGCAGCTTCAAACAGAGGTGTTTATTATTATTATTTTATTTCAGGATATATTTTTTTATAATGATTACATTCAAAGCGTGAAAACTTGAGCAATCAAAATGTTTTATCTGACTAAATCGTGGGAAAGCTATGAGTGACAATGAATCATGATTAATCACTAAAGTCAACATCCCCAATATCACCAATACAACAATGTTTGTTTTGTATATAGCCGGTAACAGCAGGTACATGTGTGTGTTTCACACATGGTTCTATTTGTCATGATGTTTGATCTCAGCGTTCATATGTATGTATCGACAGTGTTGGAGCAATGATTAGTGGATGGAGGGTTTATATGGAAATACAATGCGTGTCCAAAGCTTTATTGTGATGAGTATGTGACTATGATACAGATTGACATCTGGCTCTCTTGACCTCTGTTGGCTTTTTCAACCTGGTCTATAAACATCATTTACACTTCTGCTAATTAGATTAAAGATAATTTAGTAACTTCGTAATTTTAACACCTGTGTCTTGGATCTTCGAAAAAGATGTTTGTAATTTAATACGTATATTATTGAGATGCCATCGCAATAAAGGAGTGCACTGGCGTGTTGAAGACATTGTTCAGACACTCGACACAGCAACTGAACTGTTAAATCCTTCCTCTTTTTTTTATTTTTAAACCTCATCTGCATCACATCTCTGCTCCCCAGGTGGAGCCCTCACCGATGAAGACCACCTGGTACTGTCCTCTAGATCTGGTAAGGCTAACCAGATGAAACGTGCATGTCTTGTTTTACATTTGCAAACTACATACAGAGTATTTATGAGGAACTGGCAAACCATCTGTAACCAAGTCAGATCTTTCTTTAGCAGCATTTACCACTATTATCCTTGGGGGTTTTTTTGTTCATTTGTTTGTTTTTACCATGCTTTATTGCATACTTTAGTCTAAACAGATCATATTCCCAAAATGGAAATGATGCTTCATTGAAAAAAACCCACAATGAGCTGGTGAGACTATTAACCACAGAAAGTTAGCTCATGATGAGACATAGTCTATTTTCCCATCACTAACCCTCCTCTTGGTATTAGCTTAGCCAGCGGCAAAATACAAATGGATAGTTGTGTTTTCTTGCAGCTGAAACTGAAACATTTGTCTTAGACTTGGGGTTGTAGTCGGTGATTTTGATAAAGCTGTTCTGTAAATCTAAGTCCTGGTTTCCTGCTCCTCAGTCCACGGTTGTAGAGGAACAGGAAGATGGCGTGATCTACACAGTGGTGGTCAAACAGCCGCACGGAGGTCCAACAGTGAGACACATGGTGGGCAAAACAGGAAAAATCCCCAGATATTCACAAATATGAACTTCCTGACTGTTTCCTTCCTGCGCCCCCTGCAGTCGGCGGTGACTCGCTCCCAGTGTGTTAAGGCAGGAACAGAAGAGAAGCTGGTGCTCCACCTCCTTCACTCCTTTTCCATGGGCGACTCTTCCTTCATCACTATCTTCCTCTCCACCTATCGCTCCTTCACCTCCACAGAAAGAGTGCTGGACATCCTCACTGACAGGTAACGCACACACATTCACAACTAATCAGTGCCATTTTCACAGGAGAAGTGGGGAGTTTTGAACAGACAACACAAGCTCCTATTAAAATCACCAGGCTAAAATAATCATTGAAAATAATAAATATATTTACTCATATAAACTCAACATACTTTGTATATACATTGCTGTATATGTTGGGGTACGTTGCCTAAATAAATGTAGCTCTATGGCCCAATAGATTCAATTCGTACAGTACGTTGTCACTACTACAGACTGTAGAATTATAATTTATATTTTTTGAATTGCTTATGATTTACCATCACTCTCTTGGCGATCTACTGTGATGTCGCGACCTTCTTATTGGACATCCCTATCTTAGAGACACTAAACATGACATGGTAGAAGATCTCACTTTTTTTTTTTTGGACAACACATATCATCATAATTTAAAAAAAACATTTTTTGTTTTTCAAGAAGAATATTAATACTAAAATAAAGCTAATTTTACAAAATAGTTTTGCTTCAGACATTACAAAACCTCCTATTTTTGTGTTGACAGATTGGAGAACCCACCGGGGGAGAGCGACAGGAGCCAGAAGAGACAATCCTTCAACAAGTCAGTCTCTAAGAAAGACTTTCTTTATTCTCAGCAGATCTTTTTTTAGAATATATATATCGGTAAAATATATCAGATAAGGACATATCCTTTCTCAAAAGGTTTTACCTGACACAGAATTTCTTTGAAAAGTAATCTTTGCTTTTATAGCTTGTTTTTGTTGTCTTTATGTTGCGTTTATACAATAAAAATGTTATTAACTGGAGTTATTTTTTGGAACTGTTATCTCTTTATATCTGTGAAACAGTTCAAGTAGGATTTCATCCTCCTCTCTGTTAGCTTTATGTGCAGGTTGAGGCAGAAAGCAGTGGGATATTAATGCACTGACTTCTTCATCTCCAGAGGGTTCCCCCTCAGTGACCCTATGGTCTCGTCTGTTCCTTCTCTCTTGACTTCACAGAGCTGTGTGCACTGTGTTCAGAACATGGCTCACTGAGTTTCCTGAAGACTTTAAGAGTCTGGGAGATCCCGCTCGGCTCCTGCGTCTGGCTCCTCTGCTCCCTCAGGACTCTTCCTCTGCAGCTGATCTCAGAGCTCAGCTCCTAAGGATTGCTGAGGAGCTGAGTGAGAAAGCCCTGCTCCCTGATAACCACAGAGGTCTGTTTTAACAGGGATTGTTGAGTTTTGATCAACACAGAGTAAATATGGGTTTTTTTACATTAAAAGTTTAGTGGTAAGATGACTATAGAAGTAGGTTAAATATAAATAATTTGGTATATATAAGGTGTGTCAATGTAAAAAATAGCTACAAAAATATTTTTGCAACTATGTGGCACCGTTTTGGTAAAGTGAGAGAAATATGCTTACTCATAATGGCTACATTTATAAATAGTCAAAATGGCTGTAATCTACACTTGAATCTGTTCATCTGTTTTAACCTCTTCAACACACATCTTAATAAACACGTGTTGTCTTCGACAGCTGATCAGAGCGCCCTCTACAGTCCTCCTCCTGACCCCTCCAAGTTTGAACCCACCAGCGTCTTGGGATTTTCTGCCCGACTCATTGCTGAGCAGCTCACCAAGATAGAGACGGTGAGTTCATCGTCAGTCTCCACTTTGATCCCAGTATAAAATTAGATTACAGATAATATTTAGTTAGTGAAAAATGTATTGTATTTCGAGCTTCAACACTTTAAAGTCACATTTCCAGTGAACATAGTAGAGTGTCATCACCAAATACATGCAAAACAGTGCCCACATAGTCGAGTGTTTACATCACCAAATACATGCAAAACAGTGCCACCTACTGGAACTAAAACTCTGACCACAGCTTCAGGTCACACAGCTTGTGTCGCATTCTGAATCATTTGAGGAAACAATAATAGAAAGGTTCATGTGTTGTCTTTTTTTTTCAGGAGTTGTTTGTGCGTCTGGTTCCGTACCACTGTCTGGGCTCCTTGTGGTCTCAGAGGGACAAGAAGGGGAGGGAAGGAGTTTGTTGGTCCGTCCGGGCCACTGTACGTCAGTTCAACAAATTAGCCAACACTGTCTTGGCTTCCTGCCTTTGTCCTACCAAGCTGCGCAGCCAGCAGAGAGCTCGGCTTCTGGAGAAGTGGATCAGTGTGGCAGAGGTTGGTGGCGTTCAAAATGACAAAGTCGTGTGTTATGTTGACCTGTATTTGTAGAATTGAGTGGTTCCTCAGTGTAACAGCACGCTGCCTTACACCTGTGTGGGTTGCAAAGACTTAAAAGAGCCTTAAAAGTTAATATTAAACCAGGTTTATTTTATAACTTATACTATAAGGTCATGTTTTGACATTCAGCAGTTTTTATTAGGAGAAGTCACTGTGGTTTGCCATGAAAAATGGCAACTGTGACTCGTTACTGCCTGACTGTGTGAGATTGACTTTTTTAAGCTCTATTTTTTTTTTTAGTCTTGTGGTTATTAAAATGTTTTTTAAATTAAAGTGTTTCTAGCTCAGATAAAGTTTTAAGTTCGGCTAACATTTAACTAGCACTTCAGCGTTTGCGTAGGAAGTGGCTGTTTTTATTTCCTCTCGATGTCACTAATTATATACACCGTAGCTTTAATAACACAGTTTTGTTGTCTAAGCTACTAAAATAAAGAAAGCTTCACCCTGCATTTTAGTTTCTCCCCTTTAATCTTCTTCTCAGCTCTGACTGCCTCATACTCTGCTGAGTTCACTTTAATACCCCTAAAAGCAAAATATGTTTATATACATATATGTTTATATATATATATTTGATGACCTTTAGTTGAACTTGTATTATCCAACAGTGGGAACAACAAACATGTGCTCGCTTATTAACCAGGTTGCTACAATATCAGGGATTGTATTTCATTAGTAAACATGAACATTGTGTTCTGGGACAGCCTTCAGCCTTCCATTTGAAGAAAGGAACAGTTCTCTGCAGGAACAGGACAAATGAGGGACATGTTGTGTCAAGGAAAGAATACAAAATAAAGATAAAAAAAAGAATCTTCTTAGAAAACAAAATCATTAGACTAACAAAAAATTATTAAATAAATGCCAAATGTCAAAACAACAGTAAACATGCATTTTTGCCCATCATTATTATATTTTTCATTTTAAAAAAACAATTGCATGTCGTCTTTTTGGCTAACATGCATCTATTGTGCTGCTAACTCTTTCCAGGGTTTCCTGGTACTCTCTTGTGATACTCCACTGGTACCATCAAGGATTTTCTTCTGTCACCTTAAGCTGCTCCTGCATTTTTAAATCTTACTTGGACTTTAGTGCAGATTCACTTAATCCTATATAACTGAATTGAATGTGAGGCATTTCATCTGTCCTTTTCGTTAACCTGAGGTAAACCTTGCTGCTTTCCTTTTGTTTAGTTTATTGTTATCATCTATAGCCCTTTGGGCTAGCCTTTAAGTAGCTATGACTTTGGCTATCCTTTAATTATCTTTTAAGATCCCTATTTGTCCCTGTTGATTTGCTCCATTTTACACTCATTTTATTTCTGGGCTATGACATTTTGGTCACATTAGTTAGCTAAATTAGCGTAAATACTTGTTCATCTTCACCTTCTCCAGGGCTTTGGCTAGTTGTGTCTTGTTAGCTATGTTAGAGTGTTTGTCTTCGCACGGGATAGTCCTAAACTCAGACTTTTTGTTTTGGCACAGCCACTAATTCCTTTTTGGAGCTGCGTTTGTCATCGCACATATAAAAGCAGTTGCTAACACAGCGACACCTACATCCTGTTTGGCAGAGCGAGGGAGAATTGGTTAGCTGCCAGACACTCCAACTTGATCACACCCCGGCTTAGACAGAGTCCTCGTCAGCAGGATGCATTATTCAACATGTACCAGGCTGTATCTGCAACCTGAACCCACAGGTGTTCTCACTTACAGTGTGTGTGTGTGTGTGTGTGTGTTTCTGTGCTGTCAACAGGAGTGCAGAGGCAGAAAGAACTTCTCCTCGCTGTACGCCATTGTGTCTGCTCTGCAGAGTAACCCCATCCACCGACTTAGGAAGACATGGCAGGAAACTGAAAGGTGGGGAAACAAAACAAGGGTTTCATAGATAAATAAATAAATGTAAAATAAACACAAAAAGAAATGCAACTTTTGTATATGTGTACTTAAACTAAGTTACCTTCTCCAGGGCTTTGGCTAGTGTTAGCTTGTTAGCTATGTTAGAGTGTTTGTCTTCGCACAGGATAGTCCTAAACTCAGACTTTTTTTTTTGGCACAGCTGGAGCTGCGTTTGTCATCGCACATATAAAAGCAGTTGCTAACACAGCGACACCTACATCCTGTTTGGCAGAGCGAGGGAGAATTGGTTAGCTGCCAGACACTCCAACTTGATCACACCCCGGCTTAGACAGAGTCCTCGTCAGCAGGATGCATTATTCAACATGTACCAGGCTGTATCTGCAACCTGAACCCACAGGTGTTCTCACTTACAGTGTGTGTGTGTGTGTGTGTGTGTTTCTGTGCTGTCAACAGGAGTGCAGAGGCAGAAAGAACTTCTCCTCGCTGTACGCCATTGTGTCTGCTCTGCAGAGTAACCCCATCCACCGACTTAGGAAGACATGGCAGGAAACTGAAAGGTGGGGAAACAAAACAAGGGTTTCATAGATAAATAAATAAATGTAAAATAAACACAAAAAGAAATGCAACTTTTGTATATGTGTACTTAAACTAAGTTATACCGTTATGGAATGTTTTTTTAGTTTAGTTTAGTTTTTAAACATTCTCTTAAATGTGTGTAAAGAAGATACTTGAACATTAATTCATGAAATCAATGTAAACAAACAAAATGTAACAAAATGTAAATATCAGTTATCCCTTGAGGTTTCTTCTGTTTGAAAATAAATTACGAATAATATTTGAAAATATATAGTTTTAAAAAAGATAAATAGTACAATAAATTGTTATTTTATTATTTGTTTTATCTGTATATAAAATAAAACTGAGAAATGATCTGTTTTTCAACATTTGTGATCACAACTTAAGAAAACACTTTGTTTCAGTCTTTATCTTGAAGTGTTTACTTTTATTCATAAAATAATGAAACAAAATAGAATCTTACATCTTTGTTCTAAATGCACTGTTTGTACTGATTTTCTCAGGGAGTTGATCAGGCGATATGAAGAACTGTCGGACATTTTCTCGGAGAAGGACAATTACTCACAGAGCAGAGAACTGTTGAAGGAGGTGAGGAACTTTTCAGTAATAACTTAACAGAAATTATGAATTATTATTTTTACTCAAACTAAGTCTATTGAAGCACGTAGAACCTTAAATTGTGCCATTTGATGTCTGTGTAAGTTCTAAGTCATCCAGATCATCGACGCCTTTAATTTTCTACCCATTATCAAGTAGAAATAGGTTAAAATTGCTTAACTTTTCATAGAAAATATCTGCGCCCAAGGAATAGCTTCAAAATGTGTCAAATACACTGCCTGGCCAAAAAAAAGTCGCCACCAAAAAAAAGGGTCATACACTCACTAATATTTCGTTGGACCGCCTTTAGCTTTGATTACAGCACGCATTCGCTGTGGCGTTGTTTCGATAAGCTTCTGCAGTATCACAAGATTTATTTCCATCCAGTGTTGCATTAATTTTTCACCAAGATCTTGCATTGATGATGGTAGAGTCTGACCGCTGCGCAAAGCCTTCTCCAGCACATCCCAAAGATTCTCAATGGGGTTAAGGTCTGGACTCTGTGGTGGCCACAATCCATGTGTGAAAATGATGTCTCATGCTCCCTGAACCAGTCTTTCACAATTTGAGCCCGATGAATCCTGGCATTGTCATCTTGGAATATGCCCGTGCCATCAGGGAAGAAAAAATCCATTGATGGAATAACCTGGTCATTCAGTATATTCAGGTAGTCAGCTGACCTCATTCTTTGAGCACATACTGTTGCTGAACCTAGACCTGACCAACTGCAGCAACCCCAGATCATAACACTGCCCCATAGGCTTGTGATAGATAGATAGATAGAAGATAAATAGATAGATAGATAGATAGATAGATAGATAGATAGATAGATAGATAGATAGATAGATAGATAGATAG